CCTCGTGCATACTTACAGATTTTTGAATAAAATGTAATGATCTAAATTTATTGGAGGTTAATGAGGAACATAAGTAAGTAGTTCATTTTATACACAAACTTCATTTTATGTAAAAACTAATTATTATACTTGTGCGACTTTCATTTAATATCGCAATATTTACTGATGCGAAGAAAAGTATCTGTCTCGCCTGTGCTCGGACTAATAGAAAACGTTTTTCGAGCTGATTCTTTGAATAATTTTAGGCTTTTCAAATCGCCAGCAAAATACGAAAGGTAATTTTTCCGAAAAAGGATAGACCTTTGCACACCCAAAAAAAAAAACAATTTACTTGGTGCGGCATTTTTCGTTCGGACTATTTGCGGGTTCCGGGTTTTTTTTATGATTAGCGTGAACTATAAAGTGTGTGCTGTGAGTTGTAATACTATTACGATAAATTGATATGTGTCTGGATATTAGCAAATAGCAAAGGAATTGTTTGTGATAGATTTTTTTCTTTCGCCCTTTTCATTGCAAAAGCTTCCTTCTTGAAACATGGCCTGACTCCGTACGACCTGGGTTCGATTCCTTGGCCGAGCAATATTTTAATTAGAAAAATAATCAGCCCTATTCTGCATTTCGACTCGAATCGAAATTTTCTCCGTTTGGCAACTTTGGTATTCTGCGTTCCGTTTCCTTTCGATCAACCTTCGAAATTTACGATTATGGCTATTCTACATTTCGATCGTAGTTCCGTTTTTCTAAGTTGCAAATTTTTTGACGGAGAACGTTTCAATTGTTATTTTCGTGGGTTTAAGTAATAAAATTTTATAAAAAAATTAAGTAAAATATACTATGCATGATTGTAAAAGTCATCATAAATGAATTTTCTCGATTTCTGTGTTTTCGCGAGCGGTAATACGGGCAAAACGAAAAATAATGGCAACCAAAAGGTATATTGCGCGACGTTTTCAAAGTGGAAGTCCAGGCGTTTTTGTTTACATTATCTATAAATAAGACTGTGAAATGCACTGAATGCAATTTATTCTTTTTATATAAAATTAATAGATGTATGCACATAGATACATACATACATAAAATGCGAAGTTACATAAAAAAGATGCTTTTATTATTGCACTCGTTTTTACTAAAAGAGGTGCGTATGTTGCCTCGAATTCGATTTGCTATGGAAAGATAAGCTTTGTTCTTCCCCTCCTCCTGACGGCTTACAAAATGGGATTCATTTGCGTTCAAATCTTCCACTGTAGTAAATGCAAATTTTGTGGAGTGCTCAAACAACGTTTATAATTTCACTGACTTTAAGCGATTCCTTATGACTCTTCACTCATCTGAAAAAGATCAAACATATCCCTAAATCTCCGCCTTTCAACTTCCGCATCAGCAATCTGGGACTCGTTCTTCTCTTCAAGCAATAACGCAGCGGCTATGGATTTCATTCTTATAATTATGTATCCACTTAAATTTTATTTTTAAATTACAGTGATGCTAGGTATATTTAGTTATTTTAAAATATTTACAAACTTTAACTTCATATGCTGCTATAGTTTGGTGGCAAATATTTCTTTGTTTTGTGTCGATTTCACACATTCCTAGGCAAACAGCTGATTTCGAAAGATGTTTTCTCTCTTCCTCTTCTTCTTTCGTTTCGATTGTAACGCAGAATACCTAAGTTCGATTCCAGCGGAGCGGAATGCGGGAACGTAATCGAAATGCAGAATAGGGCTGAATAATTAAAGCTGGCTAACACTAGGCTAATGTCGAAAAAGTAATTATTGTAGAATATCCTTCACGAAAACAATACAAATATAAATAGGAAGATACTTATGATCCGTGAATGTCAGTCGTATGCACCACACAGCCAAAAGTGAACGTTTTGCCCTACGAAAAGAGCCGTTCTCGATACCAAGTGCCCTGCCTTGCTTAGGTCAGTTTTTCTTGCTTAAAATACAGGATGAATTAGTACTAATGATATTAGATCAAAGAAACCGAACACAGCATGTACTCGCACTCTACTCGTGCATGGGCGCATAGAGTTCAGTATGGTGTATGCATACATATATACATACATACGTACCCTGTGGGGAAAATCTCTAGTTCTGAACTGGGGCGCTTCTAGTACATTTAGACCCAGTACTGGTTCGCGATAAATCTCTTTTGCATGCAAGCAACTGGCGAATTTAACATGGCGATGTCCTAGGAAGTGTCAATTGCCCCCCGCTGCATCCCTTTTTCGATAGTTCCGAACTAGTCCTAAATTTTATAGTTCCGAACCAGTTCTGAAATCGACAGACGAAAGAAAAAAGTATCATGATTTTTCAATCTTTTTGGTTCTTCCGTGTGTGCGATTTTAAGTTATTTTGGAAGAAATGTGTTTTCAATTTAAAATTAAATTTCTTTGAATGATTGTAAGAAATGTACGTTTACATACCTTTAGCTGTAGCTGAATTTTGCCGAGGTGCTCGCTGTTATTTCTTAGATTCCAGACGGTCCCAAGATGTTGAAATGTTAACACAAATTTTAGTTTTGTATTACCAAGCTATGAAAAAGCATCTGCGAAGCGCAGAATAGAAGCGTATCTATGTAAAGTAAACAAGCCCCCCGCTGCATCCCTTATTCGATAGTTCCGAATTAGTCCTAAATTCGACAAATAAGATCTAGTTCGTTCTGCATCCCTTTTTCTATAGTTCCGAACCATTTCTAAATTCGTCACTTTAGATATCGATTTCTAGTGAAAAAACTGAAATAAATTAGTTTTTTAAAAGTACCACTTTTCTCCGAGTTTGGACTGGTGGGGATTTAGTTCATATCGGACTAGTTCGTTTTTGGCGATAAAGACCTAGTACGGAACTAGAAATTTGATTCACTAGTCCGCGGTTTCCCTGCAGGGTATGTATGTTCACTCTAATACATATGTATATATTGTTAATGAAATCTTGGAACGCGCCATTTGGCATTTTTTTAAGATCGGTTTGTACATGTACTAAAACGCATCTTCCTTAAGCCGTAACTTCTTCTTCTGAGTGCCGTAACTAAAATACCATCATTGTCCTTATGATTCTTTTTAAAAAGCACTTCAAAAAAAAAATTGTAATTGTACATATGTAGTTGTAGAAAATTGAAAATCTCAATTGGAGCATTTCCACCTTTCGACAACAGATATGTACTTACATACAGTGACGGGCAACACTGTAACACTTTTTATTTCAGCCACCGCTATCTTTCCAAGTTCTAACGACTTTCATTGGTATAGTCTTATTGGTACACCTGTATTTACTTTCTCATAATAATTTGAAGTCAATCCAACAACAATAACAAAACCAGCAGACAAAAAAGTAAATTAATGCAAATGTTACCGTTTTGCACTCATATATTTTTAATAACTTTTTAAGAGTTTTCACGAAAAAAAAAGAATTATTAACACAATTTTCAGTGCCCTTCTGCTTATTTTTAGTTCCTGGATGCGATTTGGCTAACCTACCAATAAGAAAATACAACAAAAGTATGAAAGTCGTTAGAACTTGGAAAGATAGCGATGGTTGAAATAAAAAGTGTTACACCATGTTACAGTTTTGCTCGTCACTGTACATATGTACCACTGACCCGAAAATCATTGAATGTTTGTTAATCGCAAATTGACTGATATGCATGTTAATAATTACACACATACAGTGACTCAAACAGTGCTCGCTTGTTAATTTTTTAAATATTCACAATGTTTTTCAAATTAATTTTTGTTGTTTGTTTATAAAAACATTTTTCATTTATACCCAAAACCATATAAATCAAAGTTTCAAACTTTATGCAATATTAATAAAAATTCGACAAATTGGCATCAAAATTTCTATCTTTTTAATCTGACGGCTTTTGAGTTTATTCACAAAATAAGTGCAATTTATTAAAAACTAGCGTGGATTTTTCGAAATTTGTTTTTAACCATTCTCTTTTCACAAGAAATTCATGTTCATATGGAAAAAAAAGTGCAAAAGTACTGCCGGCAAAAAAAAAATTATTAAAAATCAACGCGATATTTTGGCCGCTTGAAACTTCCACTTTATTCAGATTAAATAGTTTGAAATGTTATAGAAAGTTTGAAACTTTGATTAACATGTTTATGGTTAAAGCATTAAAAATAACAAAAAAAAAATTTTTTGAAAAAGATTGTGAATATTAAAAAAGCCACATATGAACACTTGTTTGAGTCACTGTATACATTTATGTAGATGTATGAATATACGTATAATTAAGTTATTAAAATATTTACTTCATCGCATATATGCATACATATGTGCGTGTCTTTTTATAATTATAGAAGCATTCGTTATTTTTTTCGTTCAGTGGATAAACCATAGCCAACAAGTATATAATATGTATTAAGCTCGGAACACTTTGACGACTGCAACTTCACGACGTAACGACAGCGACATCATTTTGTCGACAAATGTCGCCTTGAAGCCAGCTTCTTAAACATTTTGAAGACCTCAGCGACATAGCAAACAGCTGATTTTAAAGTTTGACATTTTGGTATATTTATTTTACAAATTGTGTATTTTTATTTAATTAAATAAGAAAAACATGAACTATCAAGAATATGTGATTAATTTTGCGACAATTTAATTTTGCAGCACTACATCTACTCATTGTCGCCGGCAAAATTAGAAATAGATTTAATTTGGCGACGTCGACAATTGCAGTCCTGCAGCCAAGATGTCGTGCTGTCGTCAAAATAATTGTGTCCGTAAGAACGTGTGTATTTAAAATTTGACATTTGCTGCTTGTCGCTTGCTGTCGTCAAAGTGTTCCGAGCTTCAGTGATAAGATTATTTGTGGCGACATTGTCAATGCAAAAAAAAGTCCTTGAAAGCGTTATTTACAAATGTTTTTGCACAATTACATACATAGATGCATACTCATTTATAATACATATAAATAAAATAAAAAATAAGATACAGAATAAAATAAAATTATAAGCTACAGAAATATTGAAAATTAGTTGGACTTACGGTACATATGCCAAGACGCATTGAACTGGTAATAGCATCAGATCCAACACAATCAGTTGCGTGTATGTATTTTGTTGTTGCTTGTGGCCTGTAATAAGTCTAATAGGGTTAACAAAATATGACATTTTTAGGTAAAATGTAAACAAAAATAACAATTTAGAGACAAAATTCACGAAAAATTCAAATCAGCTGCTATACTGCTGCTATCTATTCAATATGCCTTGGTATGTATGTATGTACACTGCCGGAACAAAGTATTGGCACAGCAAATTTTTTACAATATATGCAAAAAAATTTATTCTAATATTTTTCCGCCAATTTTGTATAAAAATATGGTTCATTTAACAACAAAAAACATAAAAATATAATTCCTGAACTTTGTGCAAAACTCGAGAAAATTCAGCAAATTTTTATCAAAATTTTCAACTTTTTAATCATATTTTATAGAATTTTTCGGAGTGTGCAGTTTTGCAGCCCATTAAATTCAAGTAAAAAAATGCAAGTTCGCGTTGTTTTTTGAAATTTTTTTTGTTGAAGATGTTTTGCATTTTTCCCATATAAAGTAGTTTCAAAAAAAAATGTTGTATGGAAGAGACTACGTGAAAAAAATTGCCAAAAATCAACAGTAATTCCAAGCTACTTAAACTTTATTATAATAAATTTGATTGGGCTACAAATCTGCATACTTAAAAAAATTCTAAAGAATCTGATTAAAAAGTTGAAAAGTTTCATGATAATTTGCTGAATTTTCGCGAGTTTTGCACAAAGTTTAGGAATTACATTTTTATGTTTTTTGTTGTAGAATGAACCATATTTTTACACGAAATTAGCGGAAAATATTAGAATGAAAATTGTTGCATATATTGTGAAAAATTTGCTGTGCCAATACTTTGTTCCGGCTGTGTAGTTCGTATTTTTATTCAAAATTGAAATTCAAGAAATAGCAATTGTTCTGTAAGAGGTTGAAAATGTGTAGATGTAGTGATGTACGTACATACATATTGTAGTTACAAACCACTAAAATGCACAATTCAAACATTAAAACTGAACTGTTCATATGTTGTATCAATAAAAGTTTAACATAATAAACATATGTATGTATATCGAGACATAATTTGAAATGTATGGAGCTGGATCGAACGATTTTTAAGAAACAAGGAAATTTCTAAACACAAAGATCCGACTAATATATATGACAATGATATAAATATTCTATTATACGCTTACATACTCACATACATACATATATGTAGACAGACACAGCCGTTTCATGAATAAATCAATTTACAAATGCAAACTCTTTACAACTAGATTTATATTCTACTTTTAATAAAGCGTAAATTGGTCGTAATAAATTATACAGCAACAATAGTATGAGCACCTAAAAGAATTTTAGAATAAAACTTCCAATACCCATTCAAAATGTTATTTATTTTACGTGTAAAGCTGGATATGGGCGTTTCCAGCGAAAAGTCTACCGCGAAAAAATAAAAGTCCTATATATAACTTATTTATAGGCAGATTTGGCTGCTTTTTATAATATATGCTGGTTATGTGGGCAGAAACATTTTTGCCAAAAAATGTCTCCTTAGGTGGCGCCAGGGTCGAGATATTTTGAAAAGCAGTAATTATCAGCGTTGCCATTTTAGCCGTTTTCCGGCTAGATTTAGCCGGTTTTGATAGCAACTAGCCGGAGAAAATTCGATCTAGCCGGCAGCCGATTTGTTAGCCGGTTTGTAAAAAAAAGTTAGCCGTTTTTAGCCGATTTTACTATTTGCCTAATTTTCAGGTGCAAAAAGTAAACAAGTTGTTCGAAAGCAATAATGCAGACCCAATGAAGATTTTTAATGAACTCAATGTTTTACTTTCGCATCTATGCTCCCTAGTGGTTATTAGCGCGGACACATTTGATCCTATATGCTCCCCGTTGGAACCATACCTTGCTCCATTTCCTCAGAGTATTTAAAAACAAAAGTAAGCACAAACGCTTTTGACCACGAAGCCGAGAAAATAATTCGAGAAAATGGTCGCTATTTTATTATCACTTTAATAAAGGAATTACGCCAACGCCTCCCTACAAATAATGCCACACTAAAAAAAATTGACTTTTTTCGGTTGGAAATGCATTAAGAGTAATTAAACCAAAAGTATTTGTTCAACTACAGCAACAAAACCACAAATATAATTCCGACGAAATAACATCCATAGAGATGCAATGGCAACGGTTAACGTTACATACCTGGAGTAATTTAGACTCAACTGTAAAATTTTGGGCCGAAGTTTATCAATTTCGAAATGCCCTAGGAGAAAACCCTTTTGCTGACCTTTGCAACCTAGTTTTTAGTTTTCTTGTTTTGCCTATAAGTAAGGCAGAAGTAGACCGAATATTTAGTTCAATGAATATAATAAAAACTAAGCAAAGAAATCCAATGTGCGTTAAAACGTTAAACGCTATTTTATATATAAGATACGGTTTAAAACGTGAAGAAAAATGCTGCCATAATTTTACTGTAGATGACGATCTCTTAAAATTAACGAATTCAGGTGATATATACAATAGTGATTCATTTGATGATGAGGAATATACACTCGATATAAATTAATGGTGTTAACTAGTCTTTCGTTTCTTGCGATTTATTTAAATAAAGCATGTGAATTTTCACTAAAGCATTTTAGCCGTTTTTTGCCAGAGTCTATGTGAAATTTCACTAAAACATTTTAGCCGTTTTTAGCCGCTTTTTTTTGCCAATCTAGCCGGTCGGCCCAAAAAGTTCTGGCAACACTGGTATTTATGCTCTGATTTGTTTCACATTTGCCATGTTTAGTTGAAACGTAATATGACATAGATTTGCAAAAAATTAAACCGCTGGTGGCGCTGATAACGTCACGTCAGATAATTGAGCTGATTCAAGCAAAAAGTAGAAAATATTTTTACATTAAAAAACTTGCAAAATTAGCCTTTAACATTTCAAATGTTACTACAAAAACTGTTACATAAAATGCTTGCCCAATTGGCAGAGTTGTGCAATTTTGTAACCGAAGTCAAAATCCACTTCTGTTTTTTGTAACGTCCCGGCAGCTACTACCAATAGTTGTAATGTTTTTACTAAATAAGGGGCAATTTAATTACTATGAAAATCTAGAAAACCGTTTTGAAATTTTAACTTTTTAAATGTTTTTTTTTTGTCATTCAAGTGTCACGTAACGCCAGATTCGAAATACCCATATTTATCCATGCATATGTATATACTAGGCCCATATAGTATGCGCCGTGGCAACACTAAAAGCCAGTTTCACGAAAGCAATTTAAAGGAAAATTATTATCTTTTATTTGAATTTAATACGAGAACTGGCAGAAGCGAAGAGACAATTTTTCACTTAACTTGTTGGTGCGACCGGTAATAACTCTTACCATGTTTCATATACGTTTGTAGGCAACTGTGAAAATTTTTGGAAAACGACAGTGATATTATGGTATATTGTCGACAATTGTGCTGACAATTGTCACTCTAACAAAATTGTCGCGACAATGGCGACAAAACCAAATAGCTTCGTCGGAAAGCTTTCACAGGAGAGTTTTGTAAATTTATTTATATGGTAATTGCGCACATTTCATTACATTTCAATGATTTGAATAGTTCTTAAAACTAAAATAAAGCAAATGCAATATTACATAACGTATAAATTTCATATGACTGGCGAAAATTTTAAACTCCGACAATAACAATTTGTCACTTTTTCAATGGAATTTCTCATGGAATTTAAGAGGTGGTGACAATTGTTTTTATGAAACAAAACTCCCACCAAACTGTCGAATTGTCACTGACAACACGGAAATTGCTTGTCGTTACAAAATTATCACTGTCGCTTTATGAAATAGGCCCCTGTTGTCTCCGTTGAAAAGTTTGACATTTTTAACGGAATTAATCCCATGACGTTTTAATGTGCGAGGAATTCTTTCGTACAACACTATCAGCTGATTGTCAAAAACTGCCTACAGCTGAAGATCGCCTGGGTCCGAATCGTAACATCCGATCATGGCTCAAAAACCATGGTCAGATTCTGATTCTTCAAAAATTCTGTTGGTCAGTGTAATCGAAAAGGAAACCGAAATTGGCCAAGATTTCTGTTGCAAACATGGGCTGCCCTTTTGCTCTGGTTTCACAAAAAAACTTTAGAAAACCGTAGTAGAAAGCGTAGCAAATTTCTTAAGAACTGCTTACTGCTTTAAGGAAATTTACACAAGAAAATTTTTTAGCCATTTCGTGTGCGTCATTTTATATATAGGTTTTGCTTTTGCTTGAGAGCTAGATACTAAGCGTAAAACCGAAAAATATATCTACATGCAGAAAATGACTAATACCTGAAATTTTTAAATTAAAGGAAAGTAAGTCAGCTCCAAATTCGTTGGCTCTTTTTTGCGTATTCTATCGTATGCACGTCGGCCGCTGTGGTGTAGTGGTAAGCAGTGTGCGCTTCCACTCCGCTGCGCCTGGGTTCAACCCCAACAACAGCGAAAAGAAAATAGAAAAAAGTTATTTTCATAACAGCGGTCGTACCTCGGCAGGCAATGTTAAACCTCCGAGTGTATTCTGCCATGAAAAACAGCTTCTCATAAAAATACAATCGCCGTTCGGAGTCGGTGTAAAACTGTAGCTTTGTGTGACAACATCAAGGCGCATTGCACAAATCGGAGGAGAAGAGCTCGGCCAAACACTAAAATATGTGTAAGCGCCAATCTATTATTATTATCGTATGCATATTTTCAAAGAAAATGTAGCATAAATGCGACCAATGGATTATTATGCTAAACATAAGTTCATAACAACGTTCATTGTTTTATTTAATTTAACGTCGCGAATAATTTTTAATAAATCATATAAATTAATGAATTAAGTATTAATTGAATTTATTGTCTTTTAACGAAAATATTGCGTGTACAAACAGTCATTTGAATATCTCTCTACATATAAGTACATACATATGTACATATGTAGATACGGGTCATTATTTTATAAATCGCACACATTTTTCGTTTTGGATGCGGCTAAAACTTTGTTTGTATCATACATAATATAATCAAAACATTTTGTTGTCAGAGATATGAAAGTTTTTTAATTTTGGCTTACTCACGATTGTTTGCCGATCGAACTTCGCCACTTTCAAAATTCAATATCTTTGGTTCTAGTAATCGTATCGTACCCACTTTTTTATTTTGAAGAATGATAACTGCGTACAATTAGCATATTAATTTTTTAATATAAAAAATGGATACGATTACTTGAACCAAAGATA